TGGCTGAATGTCGGTGTTGCAAACCACTGGGCTATGGTACTAGTTAGTACATAACATAATAGTTATAATAATGTCATAAAACTCTACATTTTAATGCGCAATTCAAAGCAAGCCTACGCTTGATAAAATAGCCTATTGTTGAGGGCGTAAGAAACCATGCCAAATTAGAATTAGTTTGATTTTGACACAAAGGCGATTATCACTGTAACTTGCGCAGGCGTCATCCGATGAATAATTGAAGTAATGAAATGTAATAAATCTGAAGTGCACGATTTAAGAGTTTATATAAAGCCGGTAGTTACCAATTAATTATTATTATGATAGATTACCGGTTTTACTAAATAGTTTTTTGTTGTTGGATCATGCTTAAGTTATTGCTTTATATTACAATTGCAAATTATGAATATTACTTAGATTTACTTGTACGCTTCATTTACTTCAAATGGAAATAACTTTGCTATTAGTATTTACTCTAATTGTATTAGAGTCATTATTTGACAATAACACGGTTTGGAGAATTTATACGAGTACATTTAACTTCACGGCTAGTGGGCCCTTTAATTTTCATGGCATTACTTCCAAATTACGGAATAAAATTATTATACAATATGTATTTATTTTGAACTAGTCAATTTTTCGTCTTTGTCTGTCATCAACACTATTCAATATTGAATTACCAAGGTAAATGTTAATTTTATTTGACAGTAACATGTCTTATCAGAAATGAAGTATCCCGTTACATACATAGACAGTACCTTAGAAATTTACTGTGATATATAGATACTGAGAGAGAGATTCAGAATAGAAATTATCTGTAGATTTTCATAATTTCATGTGATTTCTAATAAATCTGAAAATGTATTTTTTATCTTATCTATCTATTGCTGCTAGAAACGTAATTACCTCGAATCAAAAACAGATAGGCAATATGAGTTCCATTTGACTCAAAATAGTTATTGCTGTACCTATTATTGGCACTGATTTATAACAATACTCTATAATCATTACACGATTTTCTGAGTTGAGAGTACGAGTAATAGTTAGAAAGTGCTAAAATAGTATGTTACGTCTTTAAATATACATTTAAAGGTAATCTTATCATTAGCTTACCTACCTACCTATATATTGCGTTATTATTGTCGTATGTACCTACTAATAATAAGTGTATATTGCATTATAGACTTTATAAATTGCATTAATTCAAAAATTATGACTTAAGATATTCGAATCTAAAACAATCTTTTTTGGATGATGTAATATGATTAGAAATTATCATTATACACAGCTAATGCTTATAATTGTAAAATAAAATTGTAATTTATTTATGTAGATTTATACTATATTATCCATATTACAACTTAAAATCATTCCTTCTGTATAAGTTATCTATGTAGTTTTTTTATTTCATGTAATTAGTTATAATAAGCATGTTATCGTTATCGTACTATAGTTGTGAATGGACTGTGTTATGCCACACACGAGTCTACTTGGTTCAAGTGGCATATCTCATGTAATTATATTATCAAACATGTAAATTGGGTAATAAATAACTAAATAGAGAACTAGAAACTATATATCTCCATATATCCTGTCTAAGAGAAAGAAAACTTGAAATAGGATCCTATGCCAAGGCACCTTGCCAGTATGGTAGTAGTTGGCAGTATCTACTTCTAATAAGGAGAGAACGCTGAGCAGTGGACGGTAATGGGTTGTTATGGTGATTTAAGGACTGTTGACGGTACGTCGTTGTGAAAACAGCTTTACGCTTATACAATACTTTGAACTTTCCACGACAGTGAGACGCTTGGGTAAATTCAATTTTTTTGTGTGGGTTGGTGGTGGGTTACCCGACCACTGGTTCGCCAGCGTAAACCATTATTGGCGGCGGCTGTATATATATATAAGTATAATTTAGTAAAAAAACCTTTACCTTTTCAGTTTATCGTTATTATGGTCGAATTACGACTACTCGGCGAAGACAACAAAATTTTGCGATTTCTATTTATTAACTAAGGATTGAGACCTGTCATGTCTCAACCCTATATATATATATATAATGACGTGCCCAAGAATCGCTTTTGAAAACTAGTAAAAGTAATTTCATAAATCAACTAAGCTATTAAATAACATTTAACGACAATATTTTAGAATACTGTAACTAGATATTTTATGAAACATTTACTGTTTTTATGATAATGATGAACCAGTATGATGACATTGTTATGTAATATCGTTTTAATTAAATTTTTTATCTGTTGTTTTTATGACAAAATTGATATTAGTAATGTCGTCGTATGCGTTATAAAAGTTTACTTATTTGCTTATCAAGCGGACTTTAGGTTTATTTATCATTTTTATAAATAATTACCATCCAGGTTGTCAGATTGTTAACCCGATAGAAATTTTTTACTATGTAAAGATATGTAAGAAAATAAAAAGAAAAAAAAGACATTTAAATACACTCTGAAGAATTATTCACAATCTAAGAAAAGTATAGAAATCTACATAGTTACTGTATTATAGTATATTATGGTTACAAACATTCAAAATAATACATGCGAGCTAAATCTGTCAACATATCTTGTTATAAGCTCGACCTCGATATTAATTATGTAGCCCCTAGAAACATACATTTATGCTTTATAGACGTAGACCACCGGCCGTAACATTTGATAGGCAATAAATCATTGGATTGTCTTTTATATTGTTTAGATAGACGCGTGTAGGTGTGATAGTAATTTTTAAAATGGCAGCATTTTATAAAGACATCGTATTATTATCGCTACATCGAAAGTTTATTATCTGGAATTTGCAGTTGCAACATCTATTCAAGTGCCGAATGTATTATATAGATATCATTGTAGACGTTGGATGATTATAATATTCAAACAAGAAAGATTGATATCATAATACCTAGCTCCAAATACACTGTGATTAATGTTCTATAATCATAAAGTCTCGAATTAGATACATAAAATACAATTTCGATAATCGATCCTATGTGCTACTTTTAATATTTGCTGAAAATATAACAAATGGTGAATAAACGAAATCTCCATATGGCAAACACTCGTCGACGGTCGAGAAACTAGAAACATTATTTCAATAGTTATTCATATTTTCATATCCGTTTTTAACATATGATTCATAGTAGTAACAGACTTATGAATAATATTTAAAATGTGAAAGTAAGTGAAGATGTTCGGATGTTTATTATTAAATATTTGGATTTTTTTGTTGAAGAGTGAAATAACTGAAGTAATAGGAGTTAAATTAAATGTACATATGGACATTGGGGTACCCATCTGTTACCGCTAATAAACAATATATTCTCTCTATTATTTTCCTTTTATAGCACAAGTTATAAATCGTGAGTTTGCTAGCGTAAATCAGTATTTGAAGTGTCTGTCAAAATCAGTCGATCCACTTAGCGTTATATTCTTTTTTTGCAATAACATTTCTTTTACGAAACCTGCTCTAAAGACAATCTTGAAAATATAAACCTTATCACTTCTACAGTGATAAGGTTGCGGACAATGTGATATGCATACCCATATTTTTCGTAGCATTAGATATGTATTTCGTTTGTTTAACAAATATTCATTATTTTAATCATTAATTAACTAATATTCAAACGTATTTGCTAGTTCTTACAAATTTGATATTTGTAGGATTTTTGGGATATTATCATTTATAAATTTTAAGGTCAATTACTATGTAAACTAGACCTAATCTCACGGTCCCAATTAACTTTTGTTTATGATAACGGTTGGGTTGATTTATAATTATTTACATCTTGGTTACTACTCTTTGTTTTTGTGGTCCCGCGAAGAATAACATAGATACTTTATTATACGTAGCATACATAAGTTTCTCTCAACAAATAAACATAGATGTTGGAAATATGTATATATAAAATTACAAGTCTCAACTTCAAAGTTGGTTCGACCGGTGTTTTGTTTAGATTTATCTTCACACAAATTTTAAACAATATCTGATTATGAGCTTCCGTTGTTTGCAATAATCTTTTCACATCATCTTTATGTTTTATTGCTGCCAAATTTAGTTATTACTATTATGAATGAGAATATTAAAGTAAAGTTTTAATTTAGTATGTGAATTTATTTCAAGTAGGTACATATTTTAAACTTGAGTTTAATGAAGAGACTTTGAACTATATCCGATATTTTAATAGTTTGTAATCATAGAAACCGTTATCGATATGATGTTAACGGTTAAAATAAAATGCTTTGTAATGATAGTTAATCAGTGAATAGATCATTGATTGAACATGTATTAAGTATTGATTGTTCTTTTAAATTATGTCTACGATATCTCTTTATATAGGAATACATTAAGTATAAATATAATACATTAAGAAAAAATATACAATCTAAAAGTGTAATGTAGTTACGAACAAAATTTTTACTTTATTTATGTATACATATAAAGTATATACATACTATAATATAATGCCTGACGTCGTGTTTTATATATACAAATGATAAAATTAGTAAATTAATTGATTTTGTGATTAATATAGTGTATAACTTTTCATTGACATTCTATTATAATTCCGAAATACCTATATTGAACAGTAATTATATTTAATAAGTATATATATTTTTGGTGGATTTAGATCGTTATAATTTGAGCAATAATAACATTTATACTATATATAAGATTCTGAAATTCTATAGTAAAGTTTAAAAAATATACGAATTTTATTATAACATTCATATTTGTATATATTAATATTTCCTTTAGGATATCCACAACTATTTTATACTCAATCATACATATTTATAAGTATATATATGGTATTATATGTCATGTGGTTTTGTGATTCACTTATTAATTATTAAATTAATAATAACTGTACATTAAATACGCTTCTTGCTGTTCTCTTACTTCAGTATATTGTATGCTTGGGAGCTGGTTGCTTATAAGCATTTATTTCCTTGTAAATATACTTGAATCCTATTTCTCTTTAATTTTAGGGTAAAAGGCGGCTTTGGACTGGACACAGTAATACGACAGTGAACTGTACAGCTTATATGCTAAATTTGTTGTTTTGAAGTTCTAATTGTGTGGTGAATTGGTGATAAGAAGTCGAATGAAGTCGAAAATAGTGAAGATGAAATATTTGCCTACGGGCGGTCACAAGGAATCTTATACCTTAATCACTGCGAGAAGAAGATATATGAAGAAACTAATGTATGTATTTGATATATTCCATTTGTGCTCGTACATATCGCATGCTTCGTAATATGCTACGTTAACTTAACAAAATAGTCTATAGCTATATATTAATGGATACTTAAGAACGAAAAAAAAAGGAAAATATCTGTAATTTTCATTTTGAGTTTGTATGTTACGAGTACGTATCTAACATGGTAACTTGTAACTTACATGATTTCTATAGTAATTACCCACTTGTTGACTATGTATTCCATGAATGTCTATATTATTAATTTATGTAATATTTGAATGATTACAAATGTGCAGTACTATTCAAACTACATTACAATCCCTAAAAGAACTGTTATTAAAATCAACTAATTATCAATCAATTAGTAAATATACATTTACATAAATAGTAGCCACAACACTCCATTGGAGGCATTTATAAGCCGCTTATTCATGCTAAAAACCTATTAATTTGTTTATTTCAAAATGAAATGGTATATCATTTAGCCAAAACAATTTAATTGACGTATTACCGCAAACAAGAGCTACGCAAAATGCTTTGTATTTACCTATATTTAGTGTATTGTAGTATTTGTAGTGCATTGCATTTAATGGATGAATAAGGAATGGTATAGGTACTGTGTAAAGGCCGCCAACGGTATTTGCTGGCGGGGAACCAGTGCTGAATTGTGGATGAATGATTTATTATTATTCTGACTAATTGTAACGAATTCAAGAATTATTCAGGAATTAACAGCGATGGTTTCCAGGGTACTGCATAGAGGCGATTTGACGTGATACCCAGCTAGTAATGTGGCCACTAGTTACTAATTCAAAGAATCCCCTCCCCTATTTGTCATTGGTATATAGTAATATTCATAATAAGTAACAATGAATAATTTCCTCATTATCACTCATTAGCAGTAAACTGCCTATGTATTATGTAGGTAATAAATTTCTTATGCAAAACATCATGCAGACAAACAGTAAATGTGTTTTGAACGTATGATAGTACCGCTAATTAATTATACGTTAAATATAGATCTTCTATTGTCTACACAAATATTTGATGTATGTATGTTTATTGGAATAACAGTTGATTAATATCTGCAGTCAAGTAATCGATATAATAATCAAATGATTCTCGAGCATCATTGCATTGATTAATTATAAAACTAAGATAACCTACTAATTCCATCATTTAAACATGTATAGTTCATTCGAAATATATATTCCTATAATGTTAGATATTCGTACATATGCGAAAATTTAGCTCGTTCGGATATCAGCTGTAAGTGTTGCCAAAAAAAGAGTATAAAGAAACCGGAAAAAGGGTTTAGAAACAACAAAGAAGTCTAAATTTGCAAATTTATACACTAACATTTATAAAATTATATTTTCCATCAATGACATATATGTCTTTAGTCTGCAGCTCTTAAACTGACCTGTAGCAATAGTCGTATATTTAATGTTACTAATTTACAAATAGGTGGCCATTAATTTGCATATCATGTTTATTGCTTGTCCGACTATTAATATGAACTCGTGCTGATCCAATGATTTCACTACAATTGTAGAAGCTGTCCATTAATCCCGAGTTACAATGACAAATATCAACAAGTTGTACAACGAGTAAACTGTCGGCCTCCCGTTAAAGTGGCGAGATGTTTAATCATGATGGATGAAGCTTGCCGTGCTTTAACGAACTGCATATTTCAACGTGGCCTATATAACGTCTCCTGCTGATAATCTCCTACGTAGGAAAACAGTAGTTTTGTGAATGTAGAATTTCTTGTTTCTATTGAGAAACAAATAATGCTGTTCTGCGAAATAACGAGTTAGGAATGTGATACGAATTATGACAGATGACATAGATAAGATGCCATGTTTCGGCCAAAGATATAGATTCTTTATGCTTGTAGTCGTAATTTGTTGTAATGTTTCTTAATCATATTTCAACTATTAATAAATATATTATAGCTACTATAAATGATATGTCAATTTTTTTGAAACTGAAATTAAGAAAATTATTTTAAGTAATTACTGTAACAGACATCATTATTTTTGACCTTTGTAAAAAACATCTGACGATAAATTATGACGTGTAATGTATGTAACAAGTACCTACTATTTAAATTGTATACCGGGCCTATAAGAACATCGCCTTAGGATATCACCGTGGAGTTAATTTCTACCGACAATTTAAAAATTTGAAGCGTCTCTCTTAAGATAATATAGGACTTATTATCGTCAAGAAATTTACATCGACTATTTAGAATAATCTCATAAACATACATGTTATAAGAAAATATTTATTTGATTCTATCTACATGTTTCTATATCATCTCACCAAGCCCTTTTTTAGGTAGACCGAAGGAACCGGGTGCTAGTGATTCATAAATATCTATCTATGCGCAATTATAGTTTAGTTCCATCCATTTGCTCATTTCTCGTAGGTATACGCGCAACGCTTTAATAGTCAATACTCCTGCCTCCTCCATTAGATAAAACACGATCCATCTAATCACGTCATGATACGTAAGTTTAGGCCTCACGGGATACCCGCATACTCCGTCAATCTTTCATACGCCATTTTGAATATATCGTTTGTTATTTTAACGGCTGCTGTATGAATGGGTATAAAGTACCTACCAACAATCAACAGATTTGAAGTTTTAACACTTTTTGGGCATATTAATAACCCCGTTTTTGAGTCCTATAATAAAAACCTTTTATGGTTTGTCTATAATAGCTATTATGATGAATTAAAATAATAGTCATTTAAAATATTTAGTACGCTTACACCTACTCATTTACACCCCACATTAAAGTTAATTACAGGTCATATTGAGACGCCAATTTGCAAATACAATTATATATTCAGATACAGTAAGACTTTAATGTTGTTACAAAACAGAATAATGTGGACTTTACTACATTAAGATAAGGAGTAAATTTAGAAATATAATAATGAACTAATTTCTGCTGCTGTTTGAATGTGCCTCCGGCGCGCGCGCATCAAATACCATCGCATCGAGCTCAGCGCACCTGCGATTTCGTCCTATTACTATAATCGGAGCAAAAATTAGACCCACATTATTATACAGAGCATTACAAATTACCTGCTTACTGTTTAGAATATGAATATTTTAAATTTTAATTCTTAGTAAATGCTAAAGGTAATATGAATAAAAATATCTTAAGTTGTTCTTATTTAGTTAGGTGCAACATAAATATTCCATCAAATGTTTTCAATTTTACAGTGAATAAACAACTTTTATATAGTACGTTATGTAAGTTAAAAATTTTATAATTCCCATTACAGAACTTGTAAAGAAAAATATAATTATTGAAATCGATAAAAAAGTAGTTTCTGAAATGCAATGTAATTGAGTTACGTACGGTAAAACTGTATTATTCAAAGAAATATTAGAAAATGAAACAGGGCATATGCACTAACGAGGAAAATTGAGTAACAATATAATAATGTTTTGTAAAATATGTAGTAATTAAATGTCATCATTAGCACTGTGCTGCTGGTGGTCTTTATGATTACATCGTACCACTGTTCGGTAACAATGCCTAGTTTTTTTATTTTTTCTTCCTTCAACTCATTTAAAACACTTTAGTTGTCTAGACAGGCAATTCATAAGATGTGTTTTGGCAGCATTAATGCATAATCAATGCGCTCTGGTTTCCACGTTCTGATGATTAAAATAAGACCAACATGTCTATTTCGAATGTTTAATTTTACGAAAATTTTCTTATTTTATACAAATCTTGTCCTTTAAGATTTAGATTTAGCTAAATACGTGTAGCTGTTCTAATTTTCTAATGTGATACGCTTACGCATATAATAGACAATTGTTTTTTAATTATATTGAAATTCAAAGTTACTACATATTTACAACTGTAATAATTGTTCTTGACGATTTTGTTTTAATAAGAACATATATAACTTTATTTTGTTTATTCTGTAAGAATTATATTTCTTAAGCAATAAGATAAAAATATGCTTACCTTGTTGCTGGCTTAGCATCACCTTACATAAACCGTAGGAAATGTAATGTTGTTTTATCACCTCGGCTCTTGGGTGACTAATGTTATGAGTTGGTCACGAAATTCTAACTTGTAGGTAAATAAATTTTCTCTAAGTCCCACAATGTTCAAGGGAATCCTTAGTCACAACTCTTTGTTATACAGCTATCAACAGTTTCTAACAGACATATTGTAACCAGCAATGGGACTTGCTTGTTATTAATGAGTGAAATTTTCTGAGAAACATCTGCATTTCTTATTATTTATTTAATTGTATTAAATTGTTAGAAATAATTGTACCTACTCATTATTTTTAATTACAACTTCATTTATAACTACCTGAACTTAGTAACATTTTTCATTGCAACTTAGCTTCTGTGGATCTTATGGTGATATTATAGGCAATAGCCTTTCTCGATAAATGGGCTATTCATGACTAATATACTTTTCAAAATCGGATAAGTCGTACCCCGAAAATCCAAACTCATAAACTTTTCCTCTTTATAATATTGGTACAGAATATTAGATAATTTAGAATCTTCATTTCACTTCACTTATTCATTTGAATTTTCAATCAGGCCGTTTCTCTTTGAAACCCAGTGAAGAAGCTTTTAATCTTCGCCAAAATTCAATTTTATTTTATTTTATTTTTTTGTAATTGATTCTGTGATGTTGTAATACAATTTTTTCACGATGAATAATATTTTTATGATTATTAAATTTAGGTATAAGAATTACAGCTATGATTTACATCTTCCTTAATCATTCCTATTACTCTTACACATGTTTGATATTTCCGTACACATTTCTTCATACTAGAAATTTTGTCAATATTTTCAATATTATTTTAATATTGTAATAGAAATAAAAATAATATTTTTTTAAACAAACTTTATTGATACGTATTAGTATAAAATCACGGGATTTTACCACAATTTATTTACTGTATTGATTATACCGCTCAATCCGAAAGCAGAATCATCATAAAA